AGCTACAAATGCCAATCTGTCAGCATAGTGGCAGATTCAAAAACAAGACTAACGTCCTATGCTAAAGAGGGAGAGATGGTCACTAGTGGGCGGGGCTTTCTTACTCAAATGACACATGCAAAGAGAATTTTCATTAACACATCCCTTAATTTTAAGCTTTAATATTTTGTGTTGACTATTTTGTGTTAGCTTTTTTTACATTTTGCTAGAATAAATCAGAGTTTGGGTTCCCTAACTTTATCTTCCCGATGTAATAATATTTCCTTTTCTCCAAAGATTGACTTCACACTGCTGACAGATTCACATTACGATCCACTGAAATATTAAAGCACATTTACAGGGCGTTTAGTGCATTCATATTTTGTGCTACATGGGTTCACTTGCCATTAAGAGGGGAAATGTGTTAAACATCCTCCAGCTATCACCTCACAGCCGTCACTGAAATGACTTTGTATGAAACTTCAAAACTTCTGAAACACTCATCAGACAAATTACAAAGTTTGTGATTGAAATGTGTCATTTTCTTATCTGGTCAGGATTATTTAAGTTTATTACAGAATTCACTAAAACACTTGATTCTTATACTGTAGATGAGAAACAAAAAATGAACGGACCACTTGTAGAAAAATACTTCAACTTTTTGATTACTTTTAAATAAGTTAGACTGAAAAGTCTGAAACTATTTGAAATAAATTACAGAAATAAATTACTTTATTCTTCCATTTGCAATTTTCTAAGCACTTTTGTACATCACTGTTCAAAGATTTGGGTTGATACAATTTCTGAAGTTTTTTTTTTTCATGCTAATTTATTTGTTCATCATTTAACAGGTTTAGTTCAGCCTAAATGAAAAATTCTCGTAGCTCACTCTCCTTTGGGTCTTGCAAAATTCATAAGGAATTTGATTGTGTTTGGAACACAAAGACATTTTCTGAGAGATTTCTGTCTGTTCATTGTCCCACAAAACTTTACATTTAAAAAAAGTTCATATAAAGGCTAAAGTAAATCCATTCAAAATAAGCATTTTAAGGCTCTGAGCTTCCACATCAACCAATGAGGTTTGAGCTTCCACAAGGACAAATTAGGTTTGAGCTTCTGTGAGAACCAATGTCATTTGGGTTTCATAAGGCAGAGGTTCTCAAAGTGGGGGTCGGGACCCCCCGAGGGGTCGCGGGACAATGAAGGGGGGTCGCCTGGTGATTTTCAAAAATCAATAAATTTTTATTAAACCTTAAGACTTACTGTATTTTATCAATAACCTACTGAAGAGAAAAAAACAGTCGTTTATAGTTACTATAAACTATATAGTTACTATAGTAGCTTATAGTTACTAGTTCTATTGGATTGCGACTTCTCGGGTAATTACATTATACTAAAGACAGAGCAATACTGTCAGATGCTGCAGATTTTGTAACACCAGGTTAAACTTTCTAGCCCATTTACAGCACTGACATACATAAAAAAAACAAAGAATAGACCTGGGTCTATTGGTGTGTTTGTGCGCGTCATTGCATACAAGGTTTCTGTATTTATAACCACCACCTCAGAGAATATTGGGGGTCACGAGTCACTGGCATTGTCATTTTGGGGGTCGCGGGCTGAAAAGTTTGGGAACCCCTGTCATAGTGGACCAATGACTTTTGAGCTTCCACTCACATCAATGAAGTTAGAGCTTTCATAAAGACCTATGAGGTTTGAGCTTCCCATTGGTCCAAGAAAACCTCAAACTACATTGGTCTTCGTGGATGCTCTAATGTCATGGGTCCTTGCAGAAACTGAAGACAATAAAGTTTAAGGTTTTCTTGGACCAATGAGAAGCTTCGACCAATGAGGTTTGAGATTCCTCATAAACAAATGAGGTATGAGTTCCCACAAGGATTAATGACAGTTGAGCAATCAAGAAAACCAATGACGTTTGAGCTTTTCGATGACCAATGAGAAGCTCAAATCAATGAGGTCTGAGTTTCTGCGAGTTTCTACGAAGACCAATGAGGTTTGAGTCTCCGTCGAGAAACAAAAAGGTTTGAGCTTCAGCAAGGGCCAATGAGGTTCGAGCTTCTCTAAGGGCAAATAAGGTTTGAGTCTTCGTCAAGAACCAATAAGGTTTGCGCTTCTGCAAGGACAAATGAGGTGTGAGTCTCCATCGAGAACCAATGACATTTGAGCTTCAGCGAGGGCCAATGAGATTTGAGATTCCACTAAGACCAATGAGGTTTAAGTTTTTACAAAGTTTGAGGTTTGAGCTTCCTCATAATCAAATGAAATGTTAGTTTCCCGCAAGGACCAATGACATTTGAGCATTCACAAAGACCAATGAAGTTTGAGCTTTTTGGTCCTTGTTAAAGCTCAAACTTCATTGGTTCTTGCAGAAAGTCAGACCTCATTGGTTTATAGAGGGGCCAATGTGCTTGGAGCCGTCACATAGACCAATGTGTTTTGAGCTTCTGCGAGGACCAATGAGATTTGAGCTTTCACGAGAACCAGTGCGGCTGGAGCTTTCACGTGGACCAATGAGGTTTTTGCTTCTGCAAGAACCAACAAGATTTGAGCTTTTGCGATGACCAATGAGGTTTCAGTTTCTGCAAGGACCAATGAAGTTTAAGCTTCAGCTAAGACCAATGACATTTGAGCTTTAATGAGGACCATAAGGTTTCAGATTTCATGAGGACCAATGAGATTTGAGCTTTCACGGGACCAATGAGGTTTGAGCAACTGCGAGGATCAATAAGATTTGAGGTTCTGCAAGGACCAATGAGGTTTCAGTTTCTGCGAGGACCAAAAAGGTTTAAGCTTCACCTAAGACCGATGACATTTGAGTCTTCACAAGAACCAATTACAGTACATTAGATTTTTCATGACGACCAATAGGTTTGAGCTTTCATGAGGACCAATGAGGTTTGAGCTTTCATGAGGACCAATGAGGTTTGAGCTTTCATGAGGACCAATGAGATTTGAGCTTTCACAAGAACCAATGAAGTTTGAGCAACTGCGAGGACCAATAAGATTTGAGCCTCTGCGAGGACCAATGAGGTTTTGGTTTCTGCAAGGACCAATGAAGTTTAAGCCTCTACGAAAACTAATGGCATTTGAGCTTTCACAAGCACCAATTACATTTGAGCATTTATTTGGACCAATGAGGTTAAAGCAACTAAGGACAGATAAGATTTGAATTTCCAAAATAGTGAGGTTTGAGCTTTTGAGAACTGAAGAAGTAAGAAGAGTAAGAAGAGTTTTCACAAGGACAAATGAGGTTATGGCTTTGAAGAGGTTTGAGCTTCAGCACGGCCATTTAAGGATTATTTAAAGTGTCAGAGTTCTGAGCAAACATTAACTTTCGAAGGAGGGACAGAAATGATCTGCTTTTATGTATGTTAAGACCAATAAAAAAAATAGACATTAATCTTATGGGTTTGGAATGACATAAGGGTTAATTTAGGGGTAAAACAGACACTTTAGTAACCCAGACTGTATGTTCACTGATTTAAAGGGTCACAAAACACCAAAACACATTTTTTGAGCTGTTGCCAGTCGTATATGTGTCCCACACTGCTAAAAACACTATTAGGACACCTATATTTCACTAAAAAGTGTAAATTGGTTGTTTTTGCGTTATTTCAAGCAAATTCGTACTTCCGGTTTGAAACGAATTTTTGAAGCTGCGTCACGGTCATGACATAATAGCCTGTATTCCAGCGTGCAGACTGGACGTCTGTGCCAGAGTGTGTCTTATTATGTCTTACAGTGTGATGCATTAATGCATGAGTAAGGCTTGATTCAAACCAATCAGCGCGCTCTGTTGTGCAACTTCATTAACATTCATTACTGTCACAGTGTTTAGACGACATAGACGCCACGTTGTGTTGGCAAAACAAGCGTGAAGTGTAGCTTTTATAGTTTGCTGCAGTTAAGTTTTGTTTTCATTTTCTCTCTGTGAGAGCTCAGACTCACGTGTGGATTAACAGTGTACGCGACGCTCAACAACAATAACTTACGTGTCTAAGGAGGATTATTGTTTACCTGAGAGCTGTTCTCATCTGCAAACGCTGAGATCCGGATTCGCTTGTAGTCTCCTCTTAATAAAGACGCGGCTCTAGTTGCTGGTGATTGTCCTGTCTCTACAGATTTGGTAAGTGAGCGAGCAGTGCTCTTTGTTTATTCAGTTTGTTCGTATCGAACAAACTATTGCACCGAGTGTAAACATGTTAGCACCACAACCAAACTTTAACCTCGTGTAGGATTTTCACCCCATTTAGTGACCGGAATAACACACGCGGCTTTCTGACGCTACCTGCCGTGTGCATCTAAGTTTCCGGAAAATGCAGAGTTTTTTTTTTCTCTCATTCGCCGTGCGGTATCAAACATTGCATGAAAAATACACGCTTACAGAAGTTCCTCGAATCAAATATCTTGTTTGTCGCGAGGGGCATGAATGAATTCCCTGAATAAAAGAGCCAAACTGCAGTTAAAGTTCACCATTTAATAATTTGGCAAATAATTCGACTACAGATGTCCATGAAGGTTAAACACCATCACTTTCTCCTGTGTGTGTATTTTGACTCTGAAACTCGCGCGTGCCCAAATAGACACTCCCACACCCTCCCACTTTAGTTCCTCCGACACTCCCCCCTAAACAGAGCTGGACACGCCCACTTTTCTGACTTTTTCCAAAGTAGAGGTGTGAAAACACCCTGCTAAAACGAGGGGGTTTCATGACCCTTTAAGAGTTCTCAGTTTTGCAATTATATTTATCACTCCTCACATATCATATATGCAGACTGATTCAGGTGCATGATATAATAAATTACGTCGTCTTTTAACCGTTGCGCTTTATAATGGAGGGAAATGTGCAATCTGAGTGTTTCTAAGTGTGTGTGAGTCAGTCGTACAGAAGCTGCTATTATTAGACTGCCTGAAATCTCAGCACAGCGCAGACCCACACAGAGACGTTTTTAACTTTCTTAAACATTTCACACACACACTCGGGTGCCCTGTTGACTCACTTGCCGTTCTTGAAGTCTCCCGAATGCAGGCGGCTTTGCACCGTCTGCCACCTGCCGGCTTTAATGCCGCCCGTCATCATGCTCCTGACGCTGTCACTGCGTGACGGACCCCCTCCGTCCCCCAATACACACCCCGCGGCCCCTTTCTGGCCCCCGTGAACCGTCCCACTGAGGGGTCCGCGAGAAAGAGAGCCGCGGAGATGCAAAGGAATGAGAGAAAGGAGGAAACATTGGGAGAGAAGAAACGGTTACATGGATTAACACAATCATTTCTGCCGTGAGAGTTGTGTGCGAACATACACACTAGCATTAGTCAACCTGAGTTTTAAAGATACAGCGCTCCGCCTCTAGGGGGCGTAGCAGAGCCTGGTTTGACTTACAAATGATGCTTTGATCCCACATTAATGGCACAGGCTTCATACAGACATAACGTGGGTTATTTTTGCCAGCAATATATTTCGGTTTTGCAGGAAAGTCCTGGTGAAAGTCATCATGCAGTTAGCAGGAGGTTGAAGGAACAGCGCTGCACCGCTCAAACACTCACGATGCACACACAGCGACACCAACAACAACAGCAGGGAAACAGCAAAAAGAGCTTTAAGTGACAATGGCCGACGGCTGCAGATTGCCACAAAACCAGACGAGAAGTAGGATTTACATGACTGTAAAAATTCATTATATATATTATATAATATTAAACACAAATGTGTTAGATATTTTATTAGCTATAATTACTGATTATTAAAGCCAACATAATATAATAATAATAAAAACAAATAATATATACAGTATATATATATATATATATATATATATATATATATATATATATATATATATATATATATATATATATATATATAGGCGACGCAGTGGCGCTGGTTCAAGCCTCAGCTGGGTCAGCTGGCGTTTCTGTGTGGAGTTTGCATGTTCTCCCTGGGACCCCATGGGTTTCATCCGGGTGCTCCAGTTTCCCCCACAGTCCAACAATATACAGTACCGGTGAATTGGGTAGGCTAAATTGTCCGTAGTGTATGTGTGTATGGATGTTTCCCAGTACTGGGTTGCACCTGGAAGGGCATCCGCTGCGTAAAAATATATGCTGGGTTCATTCCACTGTGGCGACCCCAGGTTAATAAAGGGACTAAGCCGAAAAGAAAATGAATGAATAAATATATATGTATGGGCATCGTGGTGGCGCAGAGGATAGAACGATCGCCTCACAGCAAGAAGGTCGCTGGTTTGAGCCCCCCACAGTCCAAAGACATGCGCTATAGGTAATTAATTGGGTAAGCTAAATTGCCCGTAGTGTGTATGTGTGTTTTTGAGTGTGTATGGATGTTTCCCAGTGATGGATTGCAGCTAGAAGGTCATCCGGTGCTCAAAACATATGCTGGATAAGTTATATATATATTATAAGTAACATATATGAATTTAAATCATTGACATCCACCTCCTCCTCTTATTTTTCTTTTTAAAAGATTTTTTTGCATATTATTATAGGGCAACACGGTGGCTGAGTGATTAGCACTGTCACCTGACAGCAAGAATGTCGCTGTTTCCTGAGTCCCAGCTGGGTCAGTTGGCATTTCTGTGTGGAGTTTGCACGTTCTCCCCGTGTTGGTGTTGGTTTCCTCCGGGTGCTCCGGTTTCCCCCACAGTCCAAACACATGCGCTATTGGCTGTAGTGTTTGAGAGAGTGTGTGTGTGTGTGTGAATGAGTGTGTATGGATGTTTCCGAGTACTGGGTTGCATCTGAAAGGGCATCCGCTGTGTAAAACATACACTGGATAAGTTGTGGCGACCTCTGACGAATAAAGGGACTAAGCCGAAAGAAAATTATTAAACAAATGTACATATTATTATTATTATTATTATTATTATTATTATTATTATTATTATTATTATTATTAATAAATAAGTTATGCTATTATGATCATTTCATTATTTATTATTTTTTATTATTATATTATTTTGTCTCATTATAAAAGTTTTAAAGAAAAAAGTGGAAATTCTCTCACTATGTCTCTCATATCAAGCATTTCAGTTCTTTTCACTCAATAAAATAAATATAGTAAGTGTTAGCTGACAGGAAACATAAAGATGGCCAATTGTTCGATACAAAAAGCAGCTCTTCCTGCTGAGTTTTGCTTGAATCTGCAGCTTTGGCCTCAAACAGCAGCGCTTTAGTGCAGCGGTCTGTGTTCACCCACACCGTTTAATCCAGCAGGTCCGAAACCATCCAGAGGGAAGAAAAATTCAATCACCCGAGCCGCCGCGGCTAACACGTTTATTTAATTCTTCATTTTCAAGACAGGCCGTCCGATCTGAACCCCATCCGCGTTTGACGGACAAGCATGTTTTAAACCATTATTTTTCTTTATCGAATGCTCCCACGGAGACTCTTTTAGCGAAACCTGTCTGGATTACGCCGGCGTGGGTTTTCACCGCTGCAAAACACAGGCTGGAAGATTCAGGAGAGCTAGAGGGACACATCCAGAGCACAGGAAAGAGGCAACACTTTCGTAAAAACAAGGTGAAACGGGGGTTACCACGCCACAATCAGACTGTAACGGTCAACCCTCGACGGGACTGTACGGAAATGAGGGTTACACAAGTGCCATTTACTTTGTTAACTTTATTGTTGCTGTTCGCTGGATAGCTGAAATAGGAGGGTTGTCCGTCTCCATGGTAACACCCCATGGGGGAGGAACAGTGGGGGAGGGGGAAAAGGTAAAAGTTCGCAACTCTAAAAACAGACAAGCAGGGCTGTAGGGAGTGATTGTACGATTTGAACAATAATTTCTATTGATAGTCGCTGCTATAATTCGAAAACGTCAAAATATACAGTTGAAGTCAGAATTATTTGCCCTCCTGAATATTTCTGTTTAACAGAAAGATTTATTTTACGTAACAACTTATTTCTAATACCTGATTATATTTGTCTTTTGTCTAAATATTGTAAAATAACAGGAAACTACTGTAAATGTACATATCTAGTGTAAAATCACGTCAATGTGTGTAAATATTTTTGAATATTTGTTTTACAAAATACCAATTACACAGTAAAACAAATCCGTAATTTGACGGTTTATTTCCATCAGCTGGGGTGCTGGGAAAAAAAGTTAAATAACAGTCGTTAAAATCACATAAATTTACCGTAAAATAACGGATATTAAAATACAAAAATTTACCATAAATAAATTAATTTCTGTTATTTAATATATGTTATTTTACGTTAAGTTTATGTACCCCAGCTGCCGCAAATAAACCATAAAATTAGGCTTTTTTTTTTATAGTTTAGGCATGGGATGATAACCTATTTTTAAGGTATATGGCGTTTTGCAAAAGTCACGGTTTTAAAACCGTCAAAATGTTCTGCTATACCGCTCCTACGGTATATGTAAGCTTTTTATTTACTTTTTTTTTCTTAGTTTTTTAGGACAACAGTATCTCGAGCAGAACAGATATCCAATATCCATTTAAATTGTAAATAAATCTGTTTTTACAGAAACTAATGAAGGCAGTATAAGCATGGTCAGGGGGGTTTGGGGGGGATTGACCCCCCCCCCCCTCTTTTTGAAGCTTAATCCCCTCTAAAATACACAAAAACAATATGTATGGGAGGGGGGGTTTGCCCATTAATAGTAAGAAATAGCTTTCTCTGTTCTTTGATCTATATCTAAAATATCAATAATTAAAAATGTATAATATATTAATTTGACCCACGAATATGTGTTGCTTCATCCTTGCATTCCTATTGGTGGACTGAGGAGGAGCCTCAAGAGTGATGGGTATTTTTTTTTTTAAAGGGAGAAGTCCGCCATTTCAGCTAAGCTATAATTAAGTTATTATTTTTGGAAGAAATTTCCCGTAATTTTGAATTATTGCAAATTTCTGTAATTTAACAATCGTTTTCTTTTCGCCAGCTAAAATAAAACAAATAAGACTTTCTCCATAAGAAGAAATATTATTGGAAATACTGTGAAAAATTCCTTGCTCTGTTAAACATCATTTGGGAAATATTTGAAATAGAAAATAAGACTGATTGTGACTTCAACTGTATATAACGAACGTCCCTGCAGTCCTGCAAAGCTTTGAAAACATCGAGAAAAAAAGCCCATTCACATCAAGCATGATATCAATGAAATCTAAATCTAACGATAAATATATTTGCGTCCACACTGACAAACAATACGAATGTTTATTTCCAGTATTGACCACTTGTCATCAGCAGATGTCCTCAGTGTGCTACTAGCGCATCTGAGCAGTAAATATTTAATAATTAGCTCATTTAGTAAAACGAATTTAGCGATCGCAGTGCAGTGGAATAAAAACAATAAAGTATTTTAAAAGCATCTTCAAAGTAGGAAACACAAAGATGTTGAAACTAGCACTGGATACCTGAGGTACGTTTATATTAATAATTCAATTTGCTAACCTGGCTTGCGTAGCTTTGTATATTTAATAATAAACAAATTGTTAGATAGGCATTATCTTTAAATAATATTTGAAAAAAAGGCTCAACATCAAGCTGAGGCGTTCCATCAAAATGATCTCACGGCAATTCGTAACTTTTTGATTTAGTGGCTAAATCGTATGAATTTGTACGATCGCATTTGTATAATTGTTACAATTTGTATATCCCCCAATGACGGTTGGGTTTGAGAGCGGGGTTTGGTGCCACGCCTCCTTTTTAAAATCGTACATTTTCGTACGAATGAACTCGTACGATTTAGCTACTAAACTGACAAAACGTAAAATAGTTACATTTCCTCGTAAGGTCAAGCTGGCTCCACAATGTCATCAGAAGCTTTAAATTGCGTGAGCTCTTTATATTTCAATGGATTCTGACTGTCTGTATGTGTTCTGCATGAGTTTACGCGCCGAGTAAAATCGTTATGAAAGTGATCCCAATGATATTGTTTCTCGACATCTTCATCGGTATAGCTGTGGTCTGAATTATGCTTGGTGTGAATGGGCCTTAAGATCTGCATAATGACTTTCATTTATATTATAAGTTAATTCGTGAAGTGCGTAATTGTTTTGATCCACAGAGTTCAGCTGATCAAATAAACAGATTGCAGTACTGTTTGCTGTCACTAGGGCTGCATAATAAAACTTTTAAGAATTCATTTTTGTTAATTGATATAAAATATTAAAATAATGTAAACTAATTCATGTGTATAAAATAAATGAAAGGGTTGTCACAACGTTGGATCTTTTACTATATATATATTTATTTTTTTTATTGATGATAACAATGTATTGTAATATGAACCTGAAATATATGATGTTTATGTATGGTTGGGGGGGGGGGGGGGTCTAATTTCACTGCACGATCATCATCTAATATCAATTAAAATGCTGAAAACATTATATTATATTAAATTAAATTAAATTAAGTAATGTTATGTTATGTTATATTATATTATATTAAATTATATTATATTATATTATTTAATATTACATTATATTATATTATATTATATTATATTATGTTATATTATTTTATATTATATTATATTATATTATATTATATTATATTATATTATATTATATTATATTATATTATAATATTTAATATTACATTATATTATATTATATTATAATATGTTATATTATATTATATTATTTAATATTACATTATATTATATTATATTGTTTTATTTTATATTACATTATATTATATTATTATATTATATTAAATTATTTATATTATATTATATTATATTATATTATATTATATTATTTTATTTCATTTTATATTATTTTATATTATATATTTATTTTATATCATATTATATTATATTTATTATATAATATTGTGTGTATGTATGTATTTATGTATATGTAAAATATTAAATAAATAAGTTCATAAATAACTAAAATCACTTCAGAATTAAAAAAAAATCTATGAAATTGACTGAAATTACTAAAACTGAAAAACTATAAAAGCTGTAATATTAAAAACATGAAGACGTTATATCCTCAGAATAATACTCAATGTTACAATGAGTTCTAGATTATATCAATAATTTAGTCATTACCATTACCATACCATACGAGAGGTTAATTTATGTTTTTTTAATTACACACTTCACATATTTACAGTCGTACTACAGTATATTTTATATGACAGAACACAATCAGATCAAGTATACTGTGAGATTGACTTCATATTTGTTTTGGAGAGTTGATTATGGGATGTTTCCTCATCATACAGCCCTGCCAGGGATTTGGGTTCAATGGATTTGGGTAACGGGTGAGATGGGCACAGTAATATATGGGTTAGTCTAAGCCCACAGTCTGCTAACTGACCGTCTGACACGTACTGCGCTAACAAATAATGAATGCTAACAGTTAAAAAAAAAATATATATATATATATAACTAATATTTAACATTTATGTATTTATATCAGAAAACGCAGCATCATTGTTTTTATTCTCATTAATCTTTTTTAGCTGATTGACTGATTGAGCAATCCCTTCAAGCTATGCTAATCACAAACAGGACAGTTTTAACACTGCTAACTGGACAGTTTTGTTATCAGAGCCTACTCATCAAATGCGGCCACTAAAATTAGTTACACGGCTGAATTAGCGTGTTGTGAAATACACAAAAAACAGCAAGCGCAGCAGAACGCAAGTTGTTCGTCTGTGTCAGCGAGAAACTGTGATGGACTGTTGTAAAAGATGAATGATTCTCCGGGAAATGAACAAATTCGCCAAGCATGGTTTGAAAACATGCAGGTTTGTGGTGTTGTTTCTTTCTTCAGGGCTGTTTCTTGTTCTGATCTAAATGTTAGAATGAAATTCAACTTGCATGTTAGTGGTTACGCTCCTCATTCTGTTGAAAATAAAAAGCATAGTGTTTAGATTTTACAATCCGACTCATTCTGAATGTTAAAATGAAATGCATTTTTCATTTCAGCCTTTATATGTATATTTTGCTGCTTGATAAATTCAGAAATGTGCATTTTTTGTGTTTATTTTTTGTTTTAAATCTTGTTCCCTCTATTAAACATAAAATACAACTTTCACATTTTAATCTTTAAGCTTTTTTGTACATTTCTTGGTTGTGAATATTTAAAAAATGCAAGCTTCAATTTACACTTTCTGTTTCGCTAATAACTCTGCTGTGAAGGCTAAAATCAAAAACCAATAATTACTGAAATTAGCTTAGCTATATGAAATCTTAATGCGCTCAAAACCTGCCGGAACTACTTCAGCTGTGTGTTTATATGAAAATAGAGGTACACCTTAGAATCAGCCAATCAGAATCAAGCTTTCAAAAGCGCTGGTTTATCCCTTAAATACACTGTTCAAATGTAGTATTTCAGACATTTGTCAGGTTTTTGTCATCATAAAACTGCAGGATAGGCCCACACGGAATCTGCTCGCTCAGAATTCCGCAGATTTTCCCCAGATTTCCGCAGATTTTTGCAGTTTATTTACTTGAGTAAATCTGAATTTATTTCGTTTTTATTCAGTAATTTATTACTTTTTATTTCCTATATTAAGGTTTTAGTTATGATGGATACTCCCAAAGTAATTCCGCAGAAATCCGCAGATTTTTACCAAAATTCTCCGCAGAAATAGCAAAAAACGTCCGCAGATTCCGTCTGGCCCTGGTCATTAGTATATATTGATATAGTTGTTGTATTACCATAGCAATGTGATAAATTAACCAAAACAGTTAAACTAAAACTAGCAAAGTGATATGGAATTCTAATGTTGTGTTCACACCTGAAGCGGTATGCGTGAATAAATCACACTATTCGTTTAAACAGATGTGTGAACATTTTGAGTTTACTCGCGCGTCAAATTCACTTCACAATAGACGTGGATTCACGTCATGCACAGGGCTTCCTTCTTTCTGCTCGGTGACTGTACATTTTTTGCTAAATGGCTAACATAGATTTTATTAAGATAGTAGCTGTACTTTATGTGCTTTAAGAAAGCTGAAAAACAGTGTAGATTGTTCGGCGCCGTGTCTACTAGATCCTTTTAGAGGTACACCCAGCTCTGTGAGTTCATCAGCTCCTCCAGAAACTATACCTAGATGATGGAGGCTTTCAGCATTGCTTCAGACTGAGCCAACCCCAGTTTGTTTATTTGTTGTCCGGTGTCGGCATGAGGATTTTCCCTTGGGACACCAACAACAGGCTTTGCATCATAATCACTCCCCTACAAGAGCAAGCATAGTTCATTAACGCGGTGCGAATGTCTGCTGAAGATCAGATTTTGCAACGCAAGGTGCAATACGCGTTAAGAGCGTCAAACACGAAAATACTCAACTCGCACAGATTTATTCACGCGAAACGCGTTATTCGTGCCGCAGGATGTCTATTCACGTCGTTGCATTTACTTAACCTGTAAATCACTCACACTTGACGCTTTATCCGCATCTGATGTGAACGCAGCATAATGTACTCAAAACCTGCCGGATCTGCTTTAGCTGTGTGTTTATAAGAAAATAACAGCACACCTTAGAAAACTCATCAGCCAATCAGAATCAAAATTCAACAGCCTTGTAGTATTACTACAGTGTTTACAATCGATTAATATAGTTTTTTGGAATATATATTTTATGTGGTATAACTGAAGTTACTGTAGTGATATAAAATTCTAATGCACTCAAAGCCTGCTAAAACCTGTGTTTCTACAAAAATAATGGCACACCTCAAAATGCTCATCAGTCAATCAGAATCAAGCATTCAACAGTCCTGTAGTATTACTACAGTTTTTATAATAGATTATTGTAGTATTTTTTTCTTGTGGTATAACTCATATTAGCTTAGCGAAATGGAATTATAATGCCCTCAAAACCTGCCGGAACTACTTTAGCTGTGAGTTTATACAAAAATAATGGCACACCTTAGAAAGCTCATCCACCAATCAGAATCAAGAATTCAATGGTGCTGTAGCATGACTACAGTATTTATAATAGATTAATATAGTATTTTTTTAAGTGGGATAACTAAAATTAGCCGAACAATATGCAATTATAATGCACTCAAAACCTGCCGGAACTACTTTAGCTGTGTCAATTCATCCGAAAATAATGGCACAACTTAGAAAGCGTATCAGCCAATCAGAATCAAGAATTTAACAGCCCTGTAGTATTACTACAGTATTTATAATAGATTATTATAGGATATTTTCATGTGGTATAACTAATATTAGCTTAGCATTATGGAATGTTAACGCACCTAAAACCTGCCGGATATACTTTAGCTGTGTACATTTATACGAAAATAACAGCACACCTTAGAATGCTCATCAACCAATCAGAATCAAGCATCCAACAGCCCTGTAGTACTACTACAGTATTTATAATAGAATAATATTTTTTTTATGTGGTATAACTAATATTAGCTTAGCGATATGGAACTATAATGCATTAAACTTGCCGGAACTACTTTATTTGTGTGTATTTATACAAAAATAATGGCACACCTTAGAAAGCTCATCACCCAATCAGAATAAAGAATTCAACAGTTCTATAGTATTACTACAGTACTTATAATAGATTAATATTGCATTTTTTCATGCGGTATAACTAATACTAGCTTAGCGATATGGAACTATAATGCACTCAAAACTTGCCGGAACTACTTTAGCTGTGTGTCAAACCTGCCAACACTCCCGTTTTTCACGGGAGTCTCCCGTGTTTCAGACCCATCTCCCATCCCAACCCCCCCACACCCTCGCTCCTCAGCTTTTTGGTACAGTCCTCATGTGCGTCGAACCCAACACGCAACCATCTTCATACCCGCTCTCTGCTCTTCACTTTGCGTGCACCCCCTGATAACATCTCCCGGATTTTAGGGTCCGAATGTTGGCAGGTGTGCTGTGTGTTCACATGAAAATATCGGCACAACTTAGAATGCTCATCAGCCAATCAGATTCAAGCATTGAACAGTGTATAACTTTTCAATGTAAAGCATCAGACGGTCTTTCTCCTGTCTCAGTGGGCTAATCTGCTGCTGCTGG